CCCCCCCCGCCCTCGCAGGAAACCACCCTGAATCCGCCTATGAAAGCAATTGGTAAATGAAAATTAGTAACGAACCTTGCAGCTCATTAGCAGCACTCATTTGTTCCTTGTCGCCCATTTCATCTTCTTCACTGCTTACAGCGGTTTGCTGCACAGTACCTAAAACTTTGAAAAGAGAGATTTCGAGGTTAATAATAATTAGTTGGGGAATATTTCTTTATCAAAGAGGACAAGTTACTCCGCTAACAGAGAAACATCGGGCACATGCGATATTCGTAAACGAATCGGTAGTCAAAGTCAAAAGTCAAATCTCCTCTACATTCAACCATAAGCACATGGCTCACTCTTCAGAGAGCTGCTTACAAGCAAGCTGGTGGCGAATTTTTTTCCACAACATGCACCAGTATCACTCTTTTTTGAATTCCTAAATCTGAATCAACCAGACAAGTTAAACGATGATTACTCTGTAGTGGTTTATGGTAAAACAAAGATACCGGGAATGGTAAATTTCCAAATGTGAGCTGTTCGATCACCACTAGCCGTAGCGATTGTTCTTTCAGCGGGATCGGTTGCCGCTGCTGCTGTTACAGTAGGTCCAAAAGCAGCACCATTCACTGAGCCCATGTGCCCCAGGTATTGTGCCAAACACGAACCAGTATCCACTGACCACAGCAAACATGTTTGATCTGAACTAAACAATTATCCCCAATAATTGATCAATTCCCAGATCACCCAAAACAACTACAAGAAAGGATAAATTCAAAAACCGGAAGCATTTTCCGGAATCCCGTATGCTTCTAGTTAGCCCCTCGATGAGTTTTACGATATCTTTCAACACTTTAGTGGCTATCCTCGAAGCTGGACCTTTTTCACGGGTACTAACAATGAAAAAGATATAATTACCAAATCTTCGAAAATACATTTTATGACATTTCCTAAAAAATTACTTCTTGGCCTGGTCAAAATCAACGCTAGTTATGCAAGACAAAACTGAATGCACCTGCTGATGCGCTAGCCAAAACAGGCTGTGGTCCTCGACTGGCTGTGATATGCCATATACCGTCTCGATGGCCAACAAAACAGCGCACATATTTGCATCGACGTGAACTATCACCGACAACCTTCAGACTTTGCACCAATCGTCCCGGTGGTACGCGAAGAGCAGTTTTTAGCTTCTGGCGCATCTGATTTCCTGAAATTTTCAGTTTGTGGCATTCACCACTTCTGATTTTTCCGATAAATTCATCTTTTTCATTTGTGGTTTGATTCGGTTTTCTTAACAAAAATTGAGTTTTGGAAAGTAAGCTGATCATAACGCTAAATAAATGGCAACGCGCACCAGACTAGCCGGTGCGATCATGCGTTTTGTGCAATTCAGTCCATC